CAGGGGGACAGGGGGGACACAGAGGGGACACGGGGGGGACACATGGGGACACAGGGGACACGGGGGGACACGTGGGGACACAGGGAACACGTGGGGACATGTGGGGACACGTGGGGACACGGGGCACAGGCGGGGCTCACTTGGTGACTTTGAAGATGCGCAGTAACCTGAGAGCTCGCAGCACGCTGATCCCAAAGGAAGTTCCCGGCTTCACAACGGCCCAGATCACCTCGAAGATGCTTCCGATGATAACCTGGGGGGGCGGGGGGCTGGGGATCCCCCTCCTCTCCTGGATCCCGGCCCAGATCCCACCCCGGATCCCAAATCCCATCCCAGATCCCATCCTGGACCCCAGATCCCATCCCGGATCCCATCCCGGATCCCAAATGCCATCCCGGATCCCATCCTGGACCCCAGATCCCACCCCAGATCCCATCCCGGATCCCAAATGCCATCCCGGATCCCTTCCCAGATCCCATCCCATCCCGGATCCCACCCTGGATCCCAGATCCCATCCCAGATCCCATCCCGGATCCCAAATCCCATCCCCGGTCCCAGATCCCAGATTCCAAATTCGGATCCCATCCCAGATCCCACCCCGGATCCCAAATCCCATCCCAGGTCCCATGCCAGATCCCAGATTCCAAATCACATCCCATCACTTCCTGGATCCCAAATCCCAGATCCCAGATCCCATCCTGGATCCCAGATCCCATCCCAGATCCCAAATCCCATCCCAGATTCCAAATCCAGATCCCATCCCAGATCCCTTCCCAGATCCCAAATCCCATGGATCCCAAATCCCAAACCCCAGGGATCCCAGATCCCAAACCCCAGGGATCCCAGATCCCAGATCCCAAATCCCATGGATCCCAGATCCCAAACCTCAGATCCCAGATCCCAAATCCCCTGGATCCCAGATCCCAATCCCAGATCCCAAATCCCAATCCCAGATCCCAAATCCCATGGATCCCCGATCCCAGATCCCAAACCCCAGACCCCAAACCCCAGATCCCAATCCCAGACCCCAGATCCCCAATCCCAGATCCCAATCCCAGATCCCAGATCCCAATCCCATGGATCCAATCCCCAGATCCCAGACCCGCCAGCACTCACGGCACAGTCGAAGCAGTTGAAGGACGAGTGGAAGTAAGGCCGCGTCCCCAGCCCGTACATTTTTATATCCCCTGGATCCCAAATCCCAAATCCCAAATCCCAGATCCCAAACCCCAGGGATCCCAGATCCCAGATCCCCAATCCCATGGATCCCAGATGCCAAACCTCAGATCCCAAATCCCTTGGATCCCAGATCCCAATCCCAGATCCCAAATCACAAACCCGAGATCCCAGATCCCAAATCCCACAGATCCCAGATCCTTGATCCCAGATCCCCCAGACCCGCCGGCACTCACGGCACAGTCGAAGCAGTTGAAGGACGAGTGGAAGTAAGGCCGCGTCCCCAGCCCGTACATTTTTATAAACATTTCGGACATAAAGAGTCCCAAGAAAATGAATTCTGCATAGTCTGGGGGGGGGGAGAGGCACGCACAGGTCAGGGGGGGCTGCTCTGGGGACCCCCGGGATCTCCTGGGCTGGGCAACCCAGGATGGGGGGGCCCAAAATATGGGGGGGGTCCCCTGTGTCACCTCAGGGTATTCCTGTGTCAGCTGTGTCACCTGTGTCACCTCTGTCACCTCGGAGTCACGGGATCAGCTGTGTCACCCATGTCACCCGTGTCACCTCAGGGTGAGCTGTGTCACCTGTGTCACCTGTATCAGCTGTGTCACCTTGGGGTGTGCCTGTGTCAGGTATGTCATCTCGGGGTGGGGGTGCTCAGCTGTGTCACCTGTGTACCCTGTGTCACCCGTGTCACCTGTGTCAGCTGTGTCACCTTGGGGTGTGCCTGTGTCAGGTATGTCATCTCGGGGTGGGGGTGCTCAGCTGTGTCACCTGTGTACCCTGTGTCACCCGTGTCACCTGTGTCAGCTGTGTCACCTTGGGGTGTGCCTGTGTCAGGTATGTCATCTCGGGGTGGGGGTGCTCAGCTGTGTCACCTGTGTACCCTGTGTCACCCGTGTCACCTGTGTCAGCTGTGTCACCTGTATCAGCTGTGTCACCTTGGGGTGTGCCTGTGTCAGGTGTGTCATCTCGGGGTGGGGTGTCAGCTCTGTGTCACCTGTGTCACCTGTGTCACCCGTGTCACCTGTGTCAGCTATGTCACCCACAGCTCTGTGTCACCTGTGTCACCTCATGTCACTCGTGTCACCTGTATCAGCTGTGTCACCTGTGTCACCTGTATCAGCTGTGTCACCCATCCACCCCCCAAAAACCATCCCTGTGTCACCTCAGGGTGTCCTTGTGTCACCTGTGTCACCCATGTCAGCTGTGTCACCTGTGTCACCTGTGTCACCTCAGGATGAGCTGTGTCACCCATGTCACCTGTGTCACCTGTGTCAGCTGTGTCAGCTGTATCAGCTGTGTCACCCATCCACCACCCAAAAACCATCCCTGTGTCACCTTGGGGTGTTCCCGTGTCACCTGTGTCACCTCAGGGTGAGCTGTGTCACCTGTGTCAGCTGTCACCTGTGTCAACTGTGTCAGCTGTGTCACCTCGGGGTCACCTGTATCACCCATCCACCACCCACCAAACCATCCCAGTGTCCCCTGTGCCACCTCCCCCCATGTCCCCAGTGTCACCCACCCATGGCGGTGATGTCCCCAGTGTCCCCAGTGTCCCCCGGGTCCCCAGTGTCCCCAGTGTCCCCAGTGTCCCCAATGTCCCCATGTCCCCAATGTCCCCAGTGTCCCCAGTGTCCCCGTGTCCCCAGTGTCCCAATGTCCCCAGTGTCCCCAATGGCCCCACAGTGTCCCCAGTGTCCCCAATGTCACCCACCCATGGCGGCGATGTCCCCAATGTCCCCAATATCCCCAATGTCCCCAATGTCCCCAATGTCCCCAGTGTCCCCCCGTTGTCACCCACCCATGGCGGCGATGTCCTGTCCCCAATAACCCCAATGTCCCCTATGTCCCCAATGTCCCCAGTGTCCCCCCGTTGTCACCCACCCATGGCGGCGATGTCCTCAATGTCCCCAATATCCCCAATGTCCCCAATGTCCCCAGTGTCCCCAGTGTCCCCATGTCCCCAATGTCCCCCGTGTCCCCGTTGTCACCCACCCATGGCGGTGATGTCCCCAATGTCCCCAATGTCCCCCATGTCCCCAATGTCCCCAGTCCCCACAGTGTCCCCAATGACCCCAGTGTCCCCGTGTCCCCAGTGTCCCCAGTGTCCCCAGTGTCCCCAGTCCCCACAGTGTCCC